CCGGTGCGTCAGTCAAGTCACTGGACCAATCATCGGGAAGTGTTTCCCTCATGGCGTCGACGCCATAGTGCCTCACGGACAGCCACACATACATCACACACTCGAACAACTCAGGTGTATAGTGTGCCTGTTGCTATTCACTGATTGAGAATTTTTGGTGACAAATCAACTATCAGACAATTCATACAGTGTACAAAACAGTGAATTACAGTCAACTCACATAAAATTAGTAATTATTGTTCTCTATTGTTCTATTGTTCTAAGTTAAGTGTTATTGTTTAATAAAATCTATAAAAACCATACAATTTGGTGTTTGTGAACTATTTTCAGGAACCTTCTAGCATCCAACCTTTTTTCTTATTATTACAGTCCATTATTTTTTAGTTTTTCTCATCCGGCCCGACTCGAAGTCAGAACAGACAAAAAAGATAAAGCTCCGAAAAGAAGTAGCTAAAATACTTGAATTCAGAAAAAAAGGAATCATTTTAGAAAAAAATCATTGACTTTGGCAGCTCAAGAAAGGAAGGAAGGAATATCATATGAAAGTTCGTGTAGATTGAATGATGTTCCTGAAATTATATGGGATTCCCTAATCATCATTAAGCTTAATTACTATTTGGTACATAATTGACAGATAAATTTACACCCTTTTATGTGTATCTTGGAAATGCAGGATTTGGAAACAGATGGTTTTGGAAGATCAGTAGAAATTTATCAGATTAGCATTAGTTGAAATATGAATCTTTTCTAAGATAATTAAAGCCATCAATACATTCGTCGTTCTGTTTCTTAAGATTGCAGCTTCTTATAAAAATAAAAATTTCAATACTTATATGATACCATCTCAAGGAATAATGCTTAAAGCGAGTGATATTACTGGTTTAAGAACAAATGACTGATAATTGTTCTTAAAAGATCAAAAACTTTAAATTGAACCTACAAAAAAAGGTTTTCAGGGCTTTAATTTATAATTACTAAATATAGGAAATAAAATAATATTAGTCGCACACAATGCATTTTTAAATAGTTCATATTATCTTCAAATAAAAGTAAACTAATTCACGTTTATGAAACTAATTTTTATTATAGCTTTGATGCCCCAATAATCCTACAACAAATGTCGAAATTTGGTTTGCTAGAAGAATTAATGATGGTTACACAAGGAATTGCTGATACATTAACTATTTTTAAAAATAAACTAGAAGCTTATAGGAAAGAAAAGAAACAAAAATTTACTCTAGATGCTGTCAGTAAAGATTACTTGAATCCTCCACGTATTAAAGGAGCTCATAATGCTATCTATGATATATTTATGCTAAAAGAGCTTATAAATACTTTGGAGATTTTCAATTTGACAATAGAAAGCTGTGTGAAAGCTGGTTCTAAAATTTGAAATAATTTTCTAGTTAAACCAGTCATAAACTGTAAAAAGAAACAGATATAATTTAGGAAATTCATCAAATAAAATTCCGAAAACAATGAAAGGTGAATTAGCATCAGCAGCTATTTCAATGAGCGTTCTACAAAAAGTTCATCAATCTGGAGAAGATGCAATAAAACAGAAGATGCTACTGGGTGATGAAAATGGTTGTAAACGGATAATCAAAAATAAAAGGATTCTTTTTAATATTTCAGGAGCATTAAAAAATAATAAAGATGCATCAATTTTCTGATCAAATTAAAAATAATTCATCGATCAAACTTGCTCTAACTGAATAATATCAACTGACAAAATATTTTTCAAATAAATGCATGGAAAGATTACACTTTTTTTTTCAAATTCCATATTTTATATAAAAAAATTTTTACGAATTGTTAATCTTTCATAATAAAAGTATAATAAAGTTTCGTAATGATTTGAAATATGTTTAATTAATATATTTATTTCTGTGCGATTTAATTTTATTTCAATCTAGCGTATGAACCTCTTAGCGTATATATACCTATATATATATATATATATATACCTATATATATATATATATAGTAAAATAAGACCAAATAACAACTTCAGAAAATTAAATAATAATGAAAAAGTCTATTAAAGAATGACAGGAATTAATTAGAAAGAAAGAATCCATGCGGTTAACTCAAGTCTCAGTCAAAAACTGGAGATAAACAAACTCTACCCTTGTTGCTATAAACAATCTAATCGTCGTTAACTAAGAAACTGTCGTTAGTCTAATAGTCATTAGATGGCGACATACAAATATTTTACACTTCTCCCGATCTTCTAAAAAAATTGCCACCTGGCAATTCCTATTAGTTGGGTAAAAATATTGGATAAAGCTGAAATAAATAAACATGCAAAATCTAAACTCACATTTCTAATTCGAAATTCTAAAAACCAAGTTAATAATCATTCAAAATTATAAAGATGAATCAAGTTATTATTCAGCCTAAATACCAATATTGCCGCTTCCCAACTCTGTCTGCTTTAAAATAAATAAAACAAATAATTAGGAGGGAAAAATCCTGTGGCGGGTAAAAACCTCCAAACAGACCAAAATGATCTAAATTAAACTAAAAACGTGATTCTATACAATAAAAGATTTCTTAAAAACTAATCGTCCGTTAGTCAAATTAAAAATCTTAATTTTCATCTTCAATTTCCTTTCCTTCCTTCATTCTCATTAGGAGGAACCACTGGGAAGAACCATTAGAATCCGAAGAGTAGAAAATGCCAAGAACACAAGTTTATATTCTTTACCGAGAAGACCTTTTAAAACTATGTTCATAAGTTTAACGAAGGTGGCCGGAGCATTACAGAAACCAGAAGGAAGAACCCTAAATTGCCAAACCTCATTCCAAATACAAAAAGCAGTTTTAGATCTATCCTCCGGAGCAACTTCAACTTGCCAATATCTACTTTTTATATCAACGGTAGAAAACCATTAAGCACCAAGTACCATATTCAATATGTCTTCTTGATGAGGAATTGGTGTTAAATGCTTAACTGTGACATCGTTTAATTTACGATAGTCAACATGAAATCTAATTTCATCACCTTTTTTTTGGAACAAGAACAACACGGAAAGCCCAAGGCCCATTACAAGGTTCTATTGTATTCTGTTGTTTCATTTCTTCCATAACAGTATTAACTTTTTTCCTGTAACGCAATAAGATACAACGAGGAATTTGTTTAATAGGAAGAGCATTTCCAACATTAATTTTATGTTGTAAAATTTTGCACTTTCCCAAATCAAAAGAATTTTTCGCACAAATATCTATATTCTTCAATAAAAGTTCTTCAAAGCGAAATTTGTCATTGACATCCAAAAATTTGGAAGATCTTTCAAACGAATCTAAAACAAATTCTGAAAGTTTATTCACAGAAAAACTAATTTTATTAATTGAAGCAACTTCATTACTTTCTGAGAATTTTTTATCAAGAAGATCTTTGAAATCAGTAAATAAACTAGACTTGATTAAGAAATCTAATCCTAGAATATATTCTTCTTCAATTTGAGCAAAAACAACCTCTAACTTAACCTTAATATTGGAAATCTTTATTTCTACAGTCCTAATAAAATCAAAATCAAATTTATCACCTGAAACTGCAAAAATAGAATAAGAAATAGAAGAATTATTCGAAACAATTACCATCCCTTTAAACAAAGAAGAATTAACAACCGTAATATCAGCAGCAGTATCAATTGTCATAATACATTTTTTGCCATCAACTTCTCCTCTGAGTAAAAGTTTCGGTTTAGAATCAGAAGAATAAGAAAAATCAATTGAATTAATTTTTAGTTCTGACCAAATTTTTTTTGGATGAACCTTCACCGGTAGACTCATTAGAATTATGAATATTTGATAAACTAGTTTAAACAGCTTGAAGAACTTGACGATTCTTCTTAGAATGTCCTTTTTCAATGGAATTTTGATTTTGAGAATTCGACCTAAAATTTCCTTTAAACAAATTATTTTTATAACCTTTTTATATTAATAAAAATTTTAATAAGAAAACAGTAGAAGCAAAGGACGTAGAAGTATCAGAAACACAGAGAAGAAGGAAGGTAAGGAGGTGAGCTTTAAGGCGCATGCTAAGTAAGCACAGGTGAATCCTACGTGGGAGACTTCTAGAGCTAAAAAGATTCGCCGGACACTAAACAAAAGGAGAAGGGAAAAATTGCATAGATGATTGTAGGAAATTAGGGCTAGGCCTAAATAATTAAATTAATCACTTTCAACTACCTGATTTCTTACACTCCCACTTACACTATTACTTTCCACACATATCATAAAATATATCTACTATCGCGTACTTTTTTTACACTTTTATGTCGAAAACTCACCTCCATATGCACATATTTTTGGTCACTGCGCTGAGTTTGACAACATATGCTAAGGTCAAGGTCATAGGAGAGCGTACATTCGAAGCTAGAATTTCCAAAAATGCGTTGTTAAGAAATATGTTGTAAATATTGGCCGCTAGAGTAAGGTTTATACAAAACAGAAAAAAAAATGATACAATTATTAATAAGCAATCCTACAGTACCAACGTTAAGTTTGTTCTATTATTGTTTATCAATTTTTTTTTTCACTTTTTCTCAAAGTAAAATTTCAAATGTTTTCACGAACTGTTACTAGCGCTGCTTGCGATCTTGAAGATCCTACTACTATCCTTAAGATAAGTATTCATGTGTATTGGATTTTTTTTCAGATATTTGTAAAAGATCTTTAATCGTGTAGAGCAAACGGTTTCTATTTTCTCATACTTGAAATTTAATTAGAAGTTTTTACCGTTCTTTCTAAATGGAGACTCTTTAAGATAATCTGTCAAAAAGTAACAATCAGGCATGATAATACACGTTGTTTCCAATGGATGGGTATTTAACTTTAATGTTCGATATTATGTTCCACTTTCTTTAATATAAACAGTCAGGTAAAATTAATCATGTTCCGTTTTGGTGAACATATTGTACGAAATCAATTCATTTTAAAATGCATAGATACACATCTATTCTATGTTTGATGTTTAAAATCGAAATACTTACTGATATTATAAAAGATTGTACAACCATTTTAATGGCATTCTCAGTCTTTTTTATTACTTCAATAGCATTTTCGTAAGTACAGTCTCTCAAATTACAGTCATTTACTTGCAGAATGCGATCACCTACCTGGAAATACAAGAAAAAATTTTCAAGATTACTCTATCTCTATTCATTTATAAGAAAATTCTCATGTCATCATTCAAAAAAACTTAAAATCGAACGAAAATTGGCATTGTGTGCTCAATAGAATTGGTTTGATTGTTATTGGTGGTCGTACTTGGAACAACCACCAATAATGATCTAAAAAATTAAATCTCTTTTTGCATGTGTATTTTCTTCCCGACTACTAGTTAAATTAATTAATTCGTTTATTTAATTTCTAGCCTCAGCTTTCTCAGTCTCATCTAATTACCATCTAATGCATACCTCTCTCTCTCTCTCTCTCTCTCTCTCTCTCTCTCTCTCTCTCTCTCTCTCGTAGCTAAGATTTTTCTACAGTATATATAGGTATACAACAAATGTATGAATTGAAAGACTTGATGGTTTAATATTTTTTACACGCTAATATTCATACAAAATATAAATTATATATTTATCACTTATTTTTATTGTATGCCTTAAATGGCACTTTTTATAACACTTCTATTCAAGATTCTCTTTTCATTTCCTACATTACCATTCTTCTTTTCCTTGCACTGCCTTATCCCGCATCACTTCCATATCAATTTCACTCGCACTGCTGGACACACTATTTTACATGCATAGTATGCCGGGTTGCGTCTGCAACCGACTTATGCCCTAACTGTTGTATCACATTTACACAAGGACACAGAGAAATTGCAGAAAACCTGTGTTGATACAACCAGCTATTCGAGAAGATTTTCTCACTCACAGTGGTCCGAAAAAAATCATATAAATAATTTTTGTCTCAACCGGGCCTCGAATCCGCGACCCATGGATAATAATCGAATGAACTTGTTTTCAACCTCTAATTAATTATTTCTGAGATATAATTTACATTATACATAAATCATCAAACAATCATTCATTTATTGATTATTCTAGTATCTGTAAAGTAATAAATCCGTAGTGGACTGATACAGTGATTGATCGTTTTTTCAGAATTTTAATCAAATTTAGGAGCGAACATACGTTCATAGAGAGATATAAGTTATAGGAATCTATTCGGAAGGAAGATATTTGAGATCTTCCATCAATACATTTTCGCTTATACTGAAATCATGTTACTTACCGTGTAAAATAAATAGAAACACACTCTTTATATTGATCACAATTAAATTTGTTTTTAACAATAAAAAACGGAATTTATGCAATTCGAGTTCTGCCAACGCCCAATTTTTTCGTTTACTAAAAAAGAGTAACTAATCATCAAGAGATACGATAGTATCTCGTACACCAAGCATGAAACGCCGCCGTCTTGCTTTTACGTCACGACGAAGCGCTAGTGTGTGTATACAAATTATAAGATCATTTTTGCAGGGTATAATTTTTAAAAATAAAATATTTTTTATATTCTAACATAAAAATACGCTGAAATTGATAATATGCAAAGAAAGTAAATATTGGCTTTAGATTAAACATATGATTAAGTATCATCATTGCTTCATTCATAATATACGACATTGAAAAAGTTTCGTTGCGCAAAAATTGAGTTAAATGAGAGTTTATTCATGAAGCAATGATACGTTTTATTTATCAACTTGATAAATCTTGGTGATCAGAGTTCTCGATTGCTATGAAGTTCTCTCACTTAAAAATTACAGAGTTAGTAACAAGTTATTCTTGCTACCGCGCGAGTATACAAATAATTCAAGTATTTTCTGAATAAGTTTCGACTTTTTTCAATATTCATTTTCAGTTGATGTATACAAAAAATCATGAAATCTCATCGAAAACAACAACCTCTGCCTTCAGGGCTGCACAAAAATGTGCGCCACGTATTAATGATGACAATGATATTAACTAATAACTTGGTGTGACTTTTATTATAAATGGGTTTCAATATTTTGAGCATAATTGCAATTTCATGCTTTTAGAAAATCTTAACAGTTACCCTAAGTTATTAGTTGTTATGTCGATTGTGTTATAAAATGTACTGAATTTTTTTCAAAAAAACAATTCATCTCAAATATTGTTGATTCTTAGATATAAATAATTCGCGTGTTATTATTTTATGTCATTCTGTAATTATATCAATGTCATTGTTAATATTTGGCGCGCATTTATGGGTAGCCCTAAAGGAGAGGGCTGTTCTTGATGATATAGCGTCTGTTCCTAAACTTCGCCAGTATTACTGGCCAGTATGATTTGACGTCATCAGTCGCCACCATACTGCTGTCGCGTTCCAAAACGTACTGACCAGTGTAATCATTTCACGCCATATTGAAAACTTGTGTTTTGTAACTCCAAAAAGCAATTAACTTTTTTAACTCTAAAAAGCAGTGTTAACTCTTATTAATCGTTATGGAGTATTTAGGAGTGACTATGGTTTGTCGTGTGGCAGTAGAAGTTATGTGTGAACCTTCTGATAGTGATTCTAATGATGATGATGTTCTTGTGAGCTGTTTTGGTGGTAATCAACAGGGAGAATGAATCCTCAGAGTATTAGGTTATATTGAAAACATTGTACCTCTTATGTCTGATGATACATTCAAGAGTCACTTTCGGTAAATTTTTAGCAAATATGTAAGATTTTCCTATATCACATCTTATTATTAATTCCAGAGTGAAACGTAGCACTGTCAATTACCTGATAAATCTACTTGGGCCAGATTTGAGGAATGACAATATGGGTAGAGATTCAATTCCTGTTTACAAGCAGGTTTTACTAGTTCTTTGAACAATGGCAACTCCTGATTCATATCGGTATGATGTCTCTTCAAGTTTATAAATTTTAATTGATTCATTAATGAATTACTTGCATAAATGTTAATATTAGTTTTATTTCTTTTTTATTGAAAAACTCCATTTTTTAGATCAGTATGCGACCGTTTCGACGTTGGTAAAGGGACAGCTTGGCGAACTGTTTGGAAATTTGTAAGCGCCTTATACAAATACCTACCGACATTTATCACGTGGCCTACTCAGGCTGAAGCAGCAAGAACAGCAGCCTATATTGAAAATAGATACAGATTTCCTGGAGTGATAGGAGCAGTCGATGGCATGCATGTCAAAATTTGTAAACCACAAATCAATGCGTGTAATTACATAAATCGTAAAGGGCAATATTCGATACAGACGCAGGTGGGCGAAGAAACAATGACATTTCTAACCAATTGTGTGTATATGTCACTATTTTTTCTACATGGGAAAAAGTAAACAGAACTTAATATTGTGCTTCAAAATAATCTCTTAATTTAATAACGATTTTTACAAGAATGGACTGGTTACTGAGTCTAATTTTTGGAGTTGTTGTTATGGATAGTTATCAGTACTGGGCTCACAAGAATCATTTACATATGTTTGAATTAATTTTTATGGAAATAATTTTTTCATTGACAGATTATTATTTAGCCCATGAGTCGTGTTTTCTTCATGTCATGTATTTTAATTTATAGGTTACATGTGATCACACTTTGAAGTTTACTCATGTGTACTCTGGTGAAGTTGGCTCTGTTCACGATTTCCGATTTTTTGGACTATCGGGTTTACAGAGTTTATGTACTCCTGCCAATTTCCCTGGAAATACCCACTTATTAGCTGACAAAGCTTATAATTTGCAGCCGTGTGTCATGGTTCCATATAAGAATAATCATCATTTGGGTGCTGCTGAAATTAATTATAATAGAAGTCACTCGTCGTCAAGAATGATGGTTGAACGAGCTATTGGAATGTTGAAAGGACGATTCCGTAGCTTATTAGACAAACTTCCTATTAAACGAACTGATTTAATCCCTTATTATATTGTATCATGCTGTATTTTACACAATATTTGTATTTAACAGAATGATCTAATTATTATTACAATTATTATTAACGGAAATGTCGGGGCCCAACAAAATGTTGGACAACCAGTAGTAGTAACAAATAGAATGCGAATTGAGGGGCACCTTAAACGATTACGAATAAAAAATGCATTGTAATTGTAAAACATTTTCATAAAAATCGTATCAAGTTAAATAATCAAATATCATTGCTAATAATGTGTATTTTAGTAAGTTTGTATACAATCAATGCATGTCAAGAATAAGTCATATGGATTATTTTTATTTTCTACAAATAGAATGTAATCAATGTGTAGATATGTATGTATTAATCATGAATATAAAATATATATTTTTTCATCTAACAAATAAAAAAAAAATAGAGAGTGACTCACTGGAGAAGCTTGCATTTCAAACTATGTTTAAGTCCTTGATAGAAAAATTAAACAAATTATAATTATTTATTATTGGACATAAATAGATTTTATTTATCTTATGGATGAAAAAAACAATATAACAGATTTTTTAGAACTTAAATTACTTATAAGTTTACATGAATATATTTGAGTTGACGATTCAATAATAAGTGCTAAGATATGTACTAAAATATCACATATTCTTTCATATAACACATTTAAAGAAAACAACACAGGAACTGACTCGATGGAGAAGCCTCCATTTAAAGTTATGTTTATGTCCTTAATTATGAAACGTAAAGAAAATTACATGAAACATTTAAAATAAATTAATTGACACGAAACTTTTAGATTACTTAGAATACTAAAATGACTGATCCGTGCTTGAATCGTCTTTATTCTCCATCTTCGTTACTTTTGCAGCAACCAAAATATTAAAATTTTCTGCCATCGATGCTACTGAATCATGGAGGCGATCTATTCGAGCCATTTTTTCTTGATGTCTTGAAGCGTCGGTTTCTTTTTTTAATTTATGCGCGGTAACCCACTTATGAAAGAATTCTGCTATCATATTCAGCCGTTTTAAGCTGGCTGATAAAGTCGAAACTTCTATTAAAATAAAAATATATATATATATATATATATATATATATATATATATATATATATATATATATATATATATATATATATATATATATATATATATATATATATACATTGGAGTTCTTAAATTCTAAATATTTTATTTATTACCTAGATTTCCTTGAACATTATTGCCTGCTCTGGACAGTGGCTTCGCTCAAGCTTTTCTGTTAAATATTTTATTCATCCCCTGTAACAATACTACATACTCTAAGAATTGATCACCTCAATCAAACTCTAATATAAAAAATGTTTAATGTGGTACGCACATCAAAATAGGACCATTTAACAGCAGCATTTCCGGATTGTTTCGCTTGATCTAAATTCTCCTTGTATGTTCGCTTAAGCTTATTCATTTTCGACACGAATTTTTATAGGCTATATGTCTTCTTTTATGTTTAGCCAAGATGTTATTAATTTCCATATAAACTCGTTGCAATGCTGCGGTTATGTCGTTTTTGTGGACAAGTAAATTAACCCGTTCTTTCTGATAACACTCTATCAATAGATATGTTTCTTCCTCTGTCCAGGTATGAATTGAACCTGAAAATATATATAAAATTGAAGAAAGTCTTTTTACTTCAATATTGCATGGAAAAGTTATCATACAACAGAAAAACTTACTGTCATCCACATTTGAAATATTTTCTTTATCAGATGACTGAAACAAACTATTAGTTGTTTCTGAGAACAAGTACCACTAGTCAATGGATCAGGATCATCATTTCCATGATCTGGATGTGCAGCAAGGTCTTTTTCATTTGGTGCTTCTTTTACATTACTTGTTGTACTGGTAATGTAGAAATTTTTGCCTGTAAATATTTATAATAAATAAGTAATCGTTAGAAGAAGCAGATAATGAAGAAAAATAGGAAAAATTTATGTTACCTGTCTTAATAGTTTCTACTAACACATCAGCTGCATACTTTACATCTGAAATGTATTGAGGAAGGTCAATTTTTAGTTTAATAGCATGATAATTTGTTAACTTACCTGTTGTAGCCTTCTCATAAACCTCAGGCGTAACAAAAAGATTGTAACACAAATTTTCATTATCGTCTATTAACTGTAACACTTTTAGTTCAGACATCTTTTTAAATAATCTAAACTGGTTACCGGAATAACCACGAGTAACAATAAACAGCATTGACAAATTGCGGTAATTTCATGCGATGGCATGCCAGTATAATATAGCGTTCAGAAATGACGTCACTCCCTACTGGCTAGTATACTGTTTTAGTTTAGGAACAGACGCATACTATAGATATCAAAGAACTCTTTTTGATAATAGCAATTCAACTATTGATAAACAATCAAAAACTGAACTCATGCAAGGTTTTTGAGTTTATGTAACGAGAATGTTTTTTCGATCGGACCAATGATATGTAATTATACACATTATGCAGACAAAGTTGCGGAAATCAGCTCGAATATATTTAAATGAAACCAATAGGATACTTTTCCGTTCACTGAAACAATGATACTTACTATTTTATATGAATAGGTACGGTCTCTACTTGTTACTAAATTTGTTGTAAACATGGAAAAAACCGATCTATGAACAGAAAACTCCTTTTTTAGCTGATAAAAATTTTATAGACCAATAGTAGATATACAAGAGGGATTCTTGACCAATCTACAATATCGACCGAGTGAAATTTTAGATTTTGATCCTCGCTAAACTTTACCGACTGCAAAAATTAAATTACCAATAGCGATGATGGTTCTGTTTTACCGACCGCGGTATATTTAATCAACATCTGTCGATAATTATTAATTATAGAGTTTCATTATCAGTCAGTCCTATTTGTTTACAAAAACATTAGCAAATGTATAAAAAAAATGCGAAATTGAATGTCATATACTTTAACATAAACATAGGATGAACAAAATATAATTTTTGCTTAATAATTCTTAAGTTAACATTGGATTGTTAAATGAATAATTTATTTAACAATTTCTGAGTTTTTGATGTATCATATTCTGTGGGTGAGGTATAAACCTCTACAGAAGAACCCCCCTCCAAATTCCATTATTTTCGCTCTATCTCTAAACGTTCTCGAGATATGGCCATTTGTTTATAAAAACATTATAGTCTAGTTGCCGTAAATTTAAGCATTATGCTAACGTGCAATAATTATAGAATAACAATAAAAAATTTTTGGTAACGTATTCTTGTAGAGGATGATGGGGAGAATATTTGTGCAAATTTTTATTACTCGGAAACAAAAATTACTATTGTTTATCGAGTGTCAAAGTTTGGCTAATTGCGATTTTCCACCTTTCACCACTTCCGTAGCGAGAACGGTAAGGAATATAAAAAAAAAGTTTACATCTTTTTCGTAGAGAATCGAATTCTCTACAAAAAAGTCGCCAACAGCACCCATCTATCGTTAACAGGTGAAAATGTACAGCGCTGCGAAGGCGCGCGGGAAATCGAGAATTTTGGGCGCTCCGGCAGAAAATGAAACTCAAATTTGAGATTGGTGATAAAGTGTGCATACGTTTATATATGCATGTCTTTGGGAAGGGTTACATCCCCAATTGGACAACTAAAATCTTTAATGTAAGTCAAGTATTGAAAATTAATCTGGTAACCTATAAGTTTGTCAACTGCCAAGATCAACCGATTGAAGAAGGTTTCTATCAAGAAGAATTAACTAAAGTACAATACACTGAAATTTATTAGGTGAAAAAAGTTCTGAAAAAATGCGGTAATCAAGCTTTTGTCACCAAGTCAGAATTTGATAAATCACGCAACAGTTGAACTTACAGAAAGGATTTATAATGCCTTCAACTGATGAGTTAGAAACAATGACAGCCAAATTATCTCTAGCTAGGGATCTAGAAGTAATGACAGACGAATGTATAGTAGAAGTCCACGAGCAGGATGGAAAGCCACTATGCTAGTATGCATTAATTTTAGAAGAGATAAAAGAATTTTTATTAAGACAGTTTATCGTAGGGATTAACGAGAAGAGCATTTGTGCTGAATGTTATCGTTTGAAAATGATTTTCACTATTGTTTATTAACAGTTGAAATTCGGCAAAGTGCTTTTTTTACCTTTCACTGTCGTAAAGGATAGGTAGTTCCGCACAAAATGATAGTGATCATGTATTAATCGTCGTATTTTTTCATGAGAATCACAAAAACGGCCCTTTTTTGTTAAATTATCACGCTCCAAATCTCGGTAAATAAACGCCTCACACTGCCGTAAATTTTTTACACTTAAGTCAGTCAAGAAATGATTAAATTCTTGCTGATATTTCAGTACAGTTTGTTCATCACAGAAAATATTGAGCGTTAGCCATATACACTGCACGATGTACTTTATAAATTTAAGAAAACTGTTAATCACAAATTGAAACATGTTTAAATAGCAGTTTTATTCCTTTGACCTCAATGGAAGCGTATTCTCTACTAATGCTCTGCTTTATATTAATTTATCATCAAGAAAAAATTCATGCTGTTCAGAGCTCTTCCTAAGAGATCATATGACGATGATGATAAGGCCTATGTTGACCGTCAACAAAAAGATGCTGAAGGCCATGCAATGTTGTACATCTCTTAAAACTTTTATAACCTGAAAATAGTAGTCATTTATTAAGGCCAATTATAATTATGGATACACGCTGGAAACATCCTTGGACTTCAATTATTTTGGTTCTACAGGTTGTACAAATTGTTTTCGTAAAAAGATTCATTCGTACTATACATCACATGAGTAATACACGTTTCTCAAAAATAATATTTTATTATGCTGAATGACGAAAAGGTTATAATAATTATCCAAATTTTTCTTTTCTCGAATCTAAAGAAGGATTACCGGCTAGCAACGATTATACGGCTGATCACACACCGAAATTAATTATTATTGACGACCTTATGCGCGAATCATCAAGCAGTACAATTATTGATAGTCATTATCGTAATTTAAGTGTTATATTTATAACGCA